CAGGCTGGGAGACAGGTTAATAAAGCTTTCTTAACACATGTAATTGTTTGCTGTGCTCGAGAATAACCATACCTAGATGTCTTCTGGGAGATAATACAATAGCAAAACCATACAAATATTAATATTAATGGGCTAATTTCTGATATATTTTAGCTTTGATCACAGGAGTGTGGAGGCCGTCCCAATTTCTTGGGGGAGACTTAGGACCCCTTATTTTAGTAAGGCAGAAACGCAATTTTGGTAGTCAACAAGGAGTGTGCTGAGGTGTTAATGTGTGTGGGTTGTGTTGGTGGGTCGGTAAGTGGGTAGGTGTGGTGGATATAACATTTCAGGTGAGCAATACTTCAACAACTGCACTGGCACTGATTAGTAATTTATATAAGCTGGCAGCAGTTGGCGGAGAGGCATTGTTCTTGCCTCTTGTTCTGAAAACTTTAATTCAAACAGTCAGCGTCAGGTTTTAATCGGAGTCTTGATTGTTTGACTTCTTGTTGGTACAATACTACTGTGCAACAACACAACACAACACACAACAACACAACACAACAACACAACATAACAACACAACACAACAACACAACACAACACAACAAATGTACAACAGATGTACATTGTTATTAATTAAGAATTACAAAAAAAAAAAATTATATTACAAATAGCTCTATGATTTTAAGATTGATATTGAAAAAGATACATACAGGATTACCATTTGCAAAGTATGTAATTTAAATATTAAATTCATCTTTCAAGTTAATTTGCTGTAGATAGTATATCATTAACAGCTAACTTAACATATCAAGATATGTAAATTGAGACATCTCATTAAAAAATTATGCTACAAAAATGTTGTGTACAGCTTGCAATTATTGTACTGTTGAGTCTATTTATCTAATTATTATCTGAAATTTATAATATTGATTAATTATTAATTTGAATTATATCAATATTGTGCTCAGTATACTGCATCTACAATGTAGTCCATTGTACAATATTATAATTATTATTGTAATTATTTCTATTATAGTCATATTTTATTATTTCATAAGAAATTTATTATATGCCTGTTTCCTTAATTAAAGTGACAATTTTTAAAGATAGGTGCTGGAGATATATGTAATATCTAGGATATACAAATATTAATTTTAAGATACAAATATATGACCTTTAGTACATAAATGTATATTTGCTTGAATAATATAAATTTTGTGATATATTATTTGATTTCCTGCATGCCGACTGTATTCTAATTAAATATGTAACTAAAATATGTAAGTAAAAAATTGTTTAAGCCATTATGACCTGATTAATTTTAATGGTTAAAATTACACCTAGTCCCAGATGTATAGAAAATATTTAACTCCTGACTAGTCATGCACGACCTCATCTTGGCGTGGTGTTGGGTCACATGATTTCTAAAAATGAATATTCAAATTTTTCTTATTGCAGCTGGCAAAATGCCCAGAAGCATCAAACTGATCATGTGATGTGATGTTTACAGTGGGTGGAGCTTACAAAAAGATAATGTAAACAAAGAAAAGAACTTCCAAATACAGTACCTCCATGCAACTACAGAGAACACTTTTTTAAAGAGTGTATGTCAAGACAAAAGGAGTATGGAGATAAAAATGTGGAATAAATATCAAATTAATCATAGTACAAGTATTTAAAAAAAATAGTAATGTATTGCCCCGACAAATGTATGTGTGTGGGGAGGGGGGTGGAGATAACGGATGTTTTGTCTGACAAATAAGAGGGAAGGGCCTGTTGTACATTTCCATATCATTACTTTCAAAAACACTTGAAGTTCAGCAAAGATTACAATAAAGTAGTATAGATGAGCTGTGGCAGTGTCATTGGAGAGGGGTGGGGAAAGGCAGTGGTTTAAGCCCTACTCCGGTTACAAAACCCAATCCCCCTTTGAGTTTATGTGTTCTATATGACATCTTATATTGGTGTACAGTGTATGGAAATTGCCCAGACGAGTATTTGAGGCATCATGGGGTCTTCCCCTCATAACCTCCATCAGATCTTCATCCCTACACTCTCCATAATTGTCAGATCCCTGCTCTAAAATGGCTCAGCCATCCTGAGTGTAAATCTCAGAGCCATCACTGAGTGCAACACTCAGAGTTTAGCAAGTGGACTTAAAAGTGAAGATGCAGCATTCAGATTGAGCTCATTAGCCATAATGCTTAGGCTTGTGTACCACCAGATTTTTTTTTTGAGAAAGAAATCTACTCTAAAACTTTATAATAATGCCAGAGTTATTTTTTTCCAAAACATATTTTCTTTCAGATTTTCATGAGGCCAGTTTGATATCTACACTGTTTTATGCTAATTATTCCTTATATATTTATACTTTAATATTATTAAGTTATTATTCAATTATAAGCAAATTAAAATTGACAAATATGTAGTGATATTGTAATATCATAATGCCAAAAAAGGCATATAATGATAATAATAATCTACCTTATTTTAATACTATATTTTTATTCAAATTTGCCTAATTTGAATAAAATTATAATAACGATAGTAATAATAATAATAATGTTATATTTATATAGTGCATATTGCACATTGCTCCTATGCGCTTTACAAAGAAATAATATAGGCCAACTGAGAAAATGCAAATAACAATAAAATAAAATAAAAATAATAATCATAATAACAATAATAACACTAAACTACTCCTATTCCTTAAACTAATTAATGGTTGCCGTTGACTTCGAGGAGCTCATCTGCCCTTTGTAAATATAATAATTATAATAGTTAGAATATATACTAATTATAACTATAAAATTTCATAACAGTGATTTTTTTTGTAAAAAAAATAATATTGACTATATTTTAATAATATATTTTTATTCAAATTCACTTAATTTGAATAAAATTATACTAATTATAGTAAATATAATAATTATAATAATTACAATATATAATAATTATAAAATGTCAAAATAATGATTTTTTTTCTAAAGAAAATAATAATAATGACTTATATTAAATATAAATAAATAATAATAACTGTTGTAAAAAAATAATAATGTGAAGATGCAAATAAAAGTGAAGTAAAAAAAAATAGAAAAATTCTACATTATTTTAATAATATATTTTTATTCAAATTTTCCTAATTTGTATAAAATTATAATTAATGATAGTAAATATAGTAATTATAATAGTTAGAATATAATATACTAATTATAACTATAACATTTTATAAGTGATTTTTTTTTGTAAAAAATAATTATGATGACTATATTTTAATAATATATTTTTATTCAAATTCACCTAATTTGAATAAAATTATACCAATTATAGTAAACATAATAATTATAATAGTTACAATATATATAATTATAAAATGTCAAACTAGTCATTTAAAAAAAAAAATAATAATAAATATAATTAAATAAATAATAATAACTATTAATATCAATATCAATATGACTAAATATTTATAATAGTAGAATAAAAATAATTGCAAAAAATCTACACTATTTAAAAAATAATTTTTATTCAAATTTGCCTAATTTGAATAAATTTATAATAATTATAGTAAATATAATGATTATAATAGTTATAATATATATTAAGTATAATTATAAAGATTCATAATGATTTTTTTTGTAAAAAAAATAATGATGACTATTTTAATAATATATTTTTATTCAGATTTGCCTAATTTCAATAAAATTATAATTATAGTAAATATAATAATTATAATAGTTATAATATATAATAATTATAATTATAAGATTTTATAATAATTATTTTTTTGTAAAAAACAATAATGATGACTTATAATAAATATTATCAATAATAACAATAACTATTAATATCAATATGACTTGATATTTATAGAAGTGGAATAATAAAAAATAGCAAAAAATCTACATTATTTTAATAATATACCTTTATTCAAATTTGCCTGATTATAGTTGCATGGTTGGTTTTAAAATTGACATGGTATAATTTTGATATTCATGTAATGCTGTATACATTTTAACCAGCAATTTCAGTTGTTTTAAATTGTTAATGTTTTATATTGTATTGCATTTTGTATATGAAACCAAGTAATTCAAATCAACTTATAAAATATTCATAAGAAAATGATGATTGTGATGATTCAAAAGATATAATTTACTATAAATGATCAGGAAGAGTCTTTCATAAGCATAGTTGAGTTATATTTAATTTACAATCAGGACTTTTTCATGTTGGTTGTTACATACACCAACATACACTCTATCGATTATTCAATCTCACATTCTCGGTAAAATATCGGAATATAATAGACCTAGATACCTTATAACATAAACATAATTAAGTTGGATATCATATTGAAAATACACATGGAATTATTAAATTGATTAATATAAGAATTTCGATTTACTTAATCCATCCCACACTTCCTTCCTGTTGCTCACTCAGTCCCTCCATACCCAGGCTGCAAACCCACATACATACTCACTGACACTTCCTATCCACATATAATTTCTTTTGTATTTCTTACTGAAAAAAAAAAGTTCCTTGAAAAATTATATTTTCAGTTTCTATGAAACATAATTTAGACCAATTATAATTCAATTACTTAAAAAAAGTAATATGAATATATTTAATCAATATTCTTATATATAATAAAATTTTAATAAATGCATTTTCTGCATTCATGATGTCAGTTGATGTACTGTGAGATATATGTGCACTATATAATGCACACACATTCAACATGACAAATGGAAAAGTGGCTATCCAATCAGCTTGCTTGTTTACTACTGTTTCTTGTCACTCAGAAAAAGTAAACAAATTTGTTTACTTTATAACATTATACTGGACATTGCAGAAATATTTGAAGATGGTAACCACAAGGAGAGGAACATTCATCTGTCAGTCATGTATTCCTGGCATGTGGCCATTGGCCAGGTGACAGGTCACGTGACTAGACAAAGTGCTATAGATTTGTTTACAGGTAAACAAATTGTTGTGGTTAGCCCTGCGATTCAAATACGGAAACCCGGGTGTAAACAAGTCCAAGAACAAACGCCATTTTTGACGGAAATTCGGCCTTTCTCTGTCTTGCTGGCGACCTTGGCGCGCTTGTTCGTAGTTTGGTAGTTTGTGCATATTCTGTACCCAAAGACAGACCCAGGGGCATATGTGGTAGCAGACAGAGAGCAGCACAGAGATTGTATATTCGCTGTGAGTTCGTCGGCCTTCTGATTCGCCGGCGGCTGGTCTGCAGTGTAGTTCTTTATTGGCTGAGGGATTTGAATATCACTGAAAAGGCCACGGTGAGGGGTCACGCTTTTTCAAACTCGATGAAAGTTTGCCCTGTTGAAAGTGAGTATGTGGTTGATTTTCCGCATATAATCCACTAAAATGGTAGTAAAAGCATAGATAACTATTGCACTGAAAAAATTCATGATTTATCTGTTGAATACTTTCTAAATCATAATAGTATTCATCTCGCCCGCTGCTGACTGAAGCATGAATCGCCTGTTTTGGGGGAATCCCTTGCTTTGATAGTCGCATGTCGCGCGTGCGCTTAAAATTTGCAGTGTTACAAAAACCAAGACAAAGAAAGCTTTTAAATCGTAGCTATATTTTTCTAAGATCTTCATTTCGGAGTTCTAATACTAATAGAAGAGTTGGTAGATTAGATTTCGGTAGACGAAGTGATGATAAATGCGTCTAATTTTAGGAAATTCATGAATGAATAACCACCAGTATAGTTTACTAAATTAGCCATTCCGCACATGTTGTGACGACTGAAACGATCAGTGTTGGGCCTAGGAAGCCTACAAAAACAGCCTTTCTCTTGTGGCTGTTACCTGTCTACCCTTATTTTAAACATAATTTATACTTTCGTAACACCTCTAGTAAATAATTAAGATTGAGTCATACACATACAAACTGTACGAATGTGACATAATTATGTTTGCATTTCACTTCATTCATTTGATTGTATAGGCCTAGGCCTAGATACTTTAGACAGTTTGAGGGCCAAATCTAGACCGAATGGTAAGAAGGCCTGGGCTTAGGCTAGTTTCTCTGCTTGTGTACATTATTTAATATGTGCTAGGCTAACTCACTATTGATGGAGTTGATACTTTTAAATGTTAGCAGGCTAATTTTTGTCCAGGTAAAGTAGAGAATGATTACTTCCTCTCATTTCATCATGTAACAAAACATGTTTAATATTCACACACACGACAAATAACTTGTCTTCCAAGTGAGTTTAGTTTAACAGTGAAACACCAGGTTTTTGTGTATTATTACTAAAATTAAAACAACATTCCATAAGTCTGAGAAATCCTGTAATTTTACTTGCTGATTAGATGATATATAAGCTGCACCCTGTTGCCATAAACACAGATCTGTGTTCACTATCTTGAGAATGTACCGGCGGTGTCTCTTTATGTTACATGATGGATGATGGATCTTTAACAGAAACACATTCACTTGGACTCTGTTTACTGTAACAAGGGATGCATGATATTGCTAAATTTTTTTTTTTATAGCACAGGTGATATATATCACTTTATCTTGTATAAAATTGAGTATTGTTTTGATTATTGTGTTTCTTCTTGCTTCTGCACATAACATTTATTACTTTATAGGGAGGAAAACCAGTTTATGAGGTCTTGTTGGCCAACATGCTGTGTTATCCTTGTCTGTAGTTTGTACTGGTCTTCACAAAAGAATTGTCACCAAATATGAAGCCAAAGTATAATACAAATGTGAAAGTGTTTCTTCTAATTACTGATTTTTTTTTGGCATCCAAAGCATTGGATACTTCTTTTTAATAATAAAGATTGAATGCAGTCCATACAGTAATCTCCTCTGATGACGGTTGTGGACTATTAAAAACATGTCTTAGGGCTGTAAATGTCATTCTATATTTTGCTAATGAGAAGAAGTGAAGAACTGATGTATTGTTTCTAAAAGAAAATAATAATAATTAGCAATTCTTATTTTCTCATTTTATAATTACCAGTGCAGACACTGCTTATTGTGTTGGTGAGTGTGTCATACAAGTGTTCCTGTAATCTCATGTCCCTATTCCTAGCATTGCAACCCAGTGGCCTACAGTAGCTATACAAAATGAAGGGGATATTTTCTATATCCTGTACATTCAGTTATCAAAGATTAGTCAATAAATTATTGCAGGCTAACTGTATGTAATTTGTATTTTTTTCCTTTAGTACATTTTAGTTATTAATCAACATCCCTTTCTGATTAAATAAAAATTAATAATAAATAAAAATGAAATATAAAATTTATTTTTGTATGTCATCTACCAGTATATTTTGTCCAAAGAGATTGTATGGCCTCATCTGTCTGATGTTGTGTCTAGCACCTCCGCTTGAGATATAGTTACTGTGTATGGAGGAGGTGGGACTTGTTCCAAAGCACTACTTGTGAAGGCTTGATAATCTCCTAATGTGTTACAGGGTACTTACCTCTAGTAAGAGATTTTTTCATTAAAAAGCATGAATTATTTGGACATCACTGTTATAGACTCAAAATCATAGCCTGTTTTAAATATCATGACATAACCCTCTATATTGTGTATTAACTGTTTTCCCCCCATATGTTCCTCTGTGTGTTAATGAGAATCTTCACTTCTCAAATTTTAGTTCCAAATTTTAGTGAATTATGATCATGATTTTACTACCCAAGGTGGTTTAGTTTGTCCGGATACTCATTTCGTCCAGCCCTTATATTTTCTGAGATGCATGAAAATTGGAACATGGCAAAATTAGATTTCTTGCTCTGTCATGTTTTCATACTCATTTTGCTTTTCTAGATAGGGCTTAAGATCTAGAGTGTTAGCACCATACCATTTCCCTTTCTTCTAGACCTGTTTGTTAGTAACCAATTAGGTTGGTTTCCTTCGAAACATGTAGATTCAGTAAAGGCCAACTCAGACAGCGTCGTACGACGCAGCCCGATGCGATTTGTTGTCGCGTCGGGTCTGTGTGAGTTAAACGCAGACGCGATGGTGTGCATCGGGGGCAGTCGCGTAGTAGAATATTAAACATGTTTAATATTTCTCATGACGGCTTAAGACTGTCCCCGACGATAAATCGGGTCGGGCTGCGGCGACCGACGCTGTCTGAGTTGGTCTTAATGTTTGATCGCTGGGGTACAGTAGCTTAGTTTTCATAATTTTCATGTTTTGTAGAATTATTTGTTTAGGAGTGATAAATAAAATTCTATCATCAGCAAACAATCATTATTAGTATGGTAGGTAGTCTTGGTTGTATGTATTGCCTTTTAGATATACTGTAACAGAGACATTGATGGTACAGGTATGATAATTATCTCAGTCTGTATTTATGTTAATTGTTATACCCTGCTAATTAAGGAAAGGTATTATTTATATTTGGTTAATTAATGGGAAAAATGATTTCTCATTTCGATATTTAAATTGTAATTAATAAATATAAATAAGTAGTTCAGTATGGAATTGAATGAATAAATTGTGTATGGTAACTCATAACATTATCTTTGAATATAGTACAAATTATAGAACCAAACTATGACTAATATTATAGTATTGCCATACATATAGTTAATTTGGTATAGAATGCACCTCTACTGGTGATAATAACATCTTTATGTAATGTGCAATAATATCTCATTATTTAATTATATTATTGGATGACCCCTTGGTTTTTGGAAAGTACACTGTACCCCATGGCAATTGTTTATTGAGCCATTGAGTTAGACTTGCTCAGTAGATCCAGCCATTGTTCTTGTCTGTTCACGAATCACAATCCACTGGGCATTATTATAGTATATTCATGCTTCTATTGTGTTGATTGCTGACCAGAGCAGTTTTCTTTACTAGGGTGTGGACTGGCTACTAAGATAGCCAATGGCAGAGCATCATTGTGATTAATTTAATGACTGAATATTTACTTCACATAAAGCTATGATGTCATCACCCATAAAAAATGTAGATAAATGTTTGAGTGTTTGTTGTCTATGTAATGTTTCCTCCACTTAAGTTCATACCTCCTCATGCTTAATATGATAGCCTAAACTTCAGTATAACCTCATGATTTTCACATTGGGACCAAGCAGTGCTCATGAATAGGAAATTATTGTAAATTAGAATTTAAGGTCAATCAGGGGTCAAATGCCCAAAGTTAAGCAATGTACCTGTCTACCACACCACATTAGATGGAATATATTGGCTATTGACTATGGATTGATTAAAGTCCAAAATGCAGCTTTTATTGATTTTCAATTCTAAACAGATTTTGAAATTATATTAAAGTAATTCCAACTCTCCAAAGTTCATGATCTCCAATTCTGTTGTTCTTATACTGTACGTAATTAGTACAATATAGGCGTACTTATTACAGGCGTACTTATTTCATCTTGGCATAAACTGTAGGTCTGTAGATCAGTTTTGGGCAGAAAATGAAATTATTGAAAGTTAGTCATTACCAGAAATTCTGTTTGTTAGCATATTTTTTTTACTAGTGATTTGCTAAAGGACACTGGAAGTGTTGATGCTGTTGGATGGAGAGAAAAATATTTTTCTTTTACAGGTTGTAATGTTTTCTAAAAGAAAACATTATTTCTGTTCTCTTTCTCAATGTACAGTAATTGAACTGTTTTTAATTGAAAGAATCATCTGCTATAGTTCCCTGGGTATTATCCCACCCCATGAATGCGAAATTGGCCCGATTCTGTGGGAGGTGGGGGGGTGGAATTATGCCCAGGGATTTCCATATGCATGAACCAAAAAATGATGATTGTTTTGTGAAGTTGCAGAAGCATTTGAACAATTGCCCTATGAATCAATGGCCTATCCAAATCTATATTCTGGTGAAGAAATCGGACTACTCGAGCATCAAAGGGGAGGGAAAACCCTAAATGTAGTTAGTAGACCTAGGCCATATCTTGGTCTACCTTGTGCTAGACCAACCCTTTACTAAAGCAGGAAACGGTCAAGTCAGTGATGCTATGGCGCAAACTACAGTACAAACAATGTTTTCATCACTTGCTTTCTTGATGTCGTAGGTCCATAGGGTATTTTTGCCCAGCAACAATTTACGGAGATTGCTATCCAATCCAGTCATCACCCATCGCATTGTGAACGACCGCCTACTTGTAATGCCTGATGTAATGAGTTAAGCAATAAAAGCCTGTGGGTCATGTGGGTCTCCACGCTATAAATTAACGATCCGATCAGCCGACAGGGCAGGTTTCTTTAGCGACATAGCTTGTTGTCTATTTTTTAGCAGCAGTTAGTGAGTTGTTTATTTTTAGCGGCGTTAGACAACAAGAATTTATAAGGATGCTCTTTGTATTCAAATTTA